ATTCTCGACCACTCCCGGCCCGTCGACTTCACTTCCCAACGCTAGTATTTTCTTACCAGCCACTTCTGGCTGGTAGTGAGTATTCTTTGACAAGCCCCTCCAGGCTTTACAAGTATTCTTTTCCTAGCCTCTTCAGGCTCCACAATGTATTGGCTAGAAAAGTTTGGTTTGAGTGTTTTGGTTACTCTCAAAGAGAGGATACATATATATAATCTACACTCACTAAGGTTTTTCTTCTAAGATGTACATATTTAGCATTCCTTAGTTTACAGAGAGAATTACACTAAGGTACATTTGACTCTACATGATCTATCTCTACTTTTGTTACTTCATGGGTTGAATATAACTCTTCTTCATACTTGCAGCATTTAGGCCAAATAGCCAACCTCTGAAGGTTTGATGTTAAGACTTATATATAGTCTTGTGAAACTTTCCCGTTGCAAGTGTCTGTTGAAGCATACGTAGTCGTTCACGACCCTTTTGATCTTGTCATTTAGTGCTTAGATTCTTGCATTAAATTTTGCTTCTTGTGATGGACCCTGTGTAAGGTCTTCTTTGTCTTGTTAGCAGTTGTGTCTAGATATAGTAGAGACCTAGGAACCTTTTTGTCCTTTCCTGGTCACATAACTAGTAGAATGTTGTCTTTGACTGAGAACGTGATGTACTTTTTCTGACACAAGCATGCTTTTACTTCTGCGCTTGATTTTCTCGTTCCTCTCTTCTGTTTTCCCGTATTCAACTTTGTCCTTGAACTTATGTATTTGTAGACGATGCCTTGATTTGTCCTTTGAGGCTTGATTCCTCAGGTGGTTTTGTGACAATTTCGTCTATGTCTAGTAGTCTTATATGTATCTCAAACTTTGACCTTTGTCTGAGCATTTGTTTTTAAACATATTGATTTTTCCTTTCGTCTTGGTCAACTTATATATGGTCAGACTTTCAATTTCTTCTGGTATTTCTTCTTGGTCATTGACCATCTTCCGTCTGAGTCTTTATGTTTCGCCTTAGATTGTGCTTGATGCGCTATCACCTTTTTCTTGTTGAATGCTTGTGTTGGCTTTTTGTTTGTCGTCTTGTATCATTTGATGCATATGTTTGTCCTTCATTTTTCCTGTACTCATTATCTTCTAAAACACTAACTCGCTTGTTAGAGATAACCACATGCATTATATTTGTCATACTGAAAACCTTCCTGGAAATTGCTTCTTCTGTCTTAACAAATTGCAGCAGTGTTATCACAGAGTACTAGAATACTACTTTCATAAATGTCGTAGTCTTCCAACTGATGTTTGATCCAAAGCAGTTGCGTAAGACACTGTCCTACGGAAACATACTTAGCTTCAAAAGTTGATAAGGCAATCGTGCTTTGCCTCTTACTAGTCCATGAAACCAGGCAGCGACCAAGGAAATGACATCCTCCGCTAGTGCTTTTTCTCTCCCACTTGTCTCCTGCATAATCTGCATCACAATATCCTAGAAGGGAAAAATTCTGGATTCTATAGAAGCTAATGCTTAGGTTAGTTGTTCCTTTAAGGTATCTTAAGATTCTTTTAACATCTTGTAAGTGTGCCTCCTTAGGTCGTACATGAAACCTAGCTCAGACGTAAACGCTAAACATGATGTTTGGTCTTGACGTTGTTAGGTACAAGAGAGAACCAACCATTCCTCGGTACATCGTGTTATCAACGTCTGGTGATTCTTCGTCCATACCAAGAGTAGTTGAAGGATGCATCGGTGTCTTCATTGGTTTTGCATTTTCCATCTTAAACTTCTGTAGTAATTCTTTTGTATATTTCGTCTGATGAATTTTGATTCCTTCGTCTGACTAGATGATTTGAAGTCCTAGAAAAAACTTCAGTTCTCCCATCATGCTCATTTCAAATTCATCATGCATAAGCTTGGAAAACTCTTGGCAAAGATTTTCATTAGTAGCACCAAATATTATGTCGTCTACGTAGATTTGAACTATTATGAAATCATACTTTATTTCTTTTCTAAACAAGGTGCTGTTAATTTTTCCCCTTATAAAATTATTATTTGTTAGAAAAGAGCTTAATGTGGTGCCTGTTTTAATCCATACAAAGCTTTGTTTAGTTTGAAAACATGAGATGATAGTAGGTCATTTTCAAAACTAGGAAGTTGACTCATGTAAACCTCTTCTGAGATTGTTCCATTTAAAAATGCACTTTTAACATCTATCTGGTATAAATTCATGCCAGTACATGCGGTAAAAGCAAGTAAAATTCTAATGGCCTTTATTTTGGCAACAGGTGAAAAGGTTTCAGTAAAGTCTATACCTTCCTACTGAGAGTACCCTTTTGCAACTAACCTTACTTTGTTTCTTACCACGTTTCCTGATTCGTCTAATTTATTCTTGTATACCCATTTTGTACCTATGATTGATCGGTCTTCTGGCATTGGAACAAGCTTCCATACATCATTTTTATGGAATTGGCTTAGTTCTTCCTGCATGGCCTGAACCCAGCTTTCATCTGACAAGGCTTCATCTGTGGTTCTTGGTTCAACTTGAAATAGTAGTGCAATTTGTGCTTGTGTTTTGAATGAACTTCTATTTCTTACTGCATCCTTTGCTTCTCCAATGATTTGTTCTTGTGGGTGATGAGCTTTCATCTGCTAGTTGTGATTGACTGGTTCTTTTTCCTCTCTTTCATCCTGTTGAGTTGTTGTTTCTTTAGACTCAGGCTTCTTCATCTGATCATTGTTCACCTGCATGTTCTCGAAGAAATTGCCAAGCTCTGATATTTCTTTATCAGGCTTATTTTCATCAAATTTAACATGAATAGCTTCTTTAACAGTTTTGGTTCTATTTCTGAACACCCTATAGGCTCTTAACCTTTCAGAGTATCCGAGTAGAATACCCTCGTTGGTTTTTGAGTCAAATTTGCCTAAGCTTTCTTTGGTGTTTAGAATAAAGCATTTGCAACCAAATGGATGAAAGTATGATATGTTGGGTGCTTGTCCCTCCCACAATTCATAAGGAGTCTTTTTTAGCAAAGGCCTAATATATATTATGTTTTGAATATAGCAGGAAGTATTAACTACTTCTGCCTATAAATGTTTGGGGGTGGAGAAATCTTTTAGTAAAGTTCTTGCCATTTCTTGTAAAGAACGATTCTTTCTTTCTACAACCCCATTTTTCTGTGGAGTTCTAGGTGTTGAGAAATTGTTTAATTCCGTTTTCTTCACAAAATTCTTGAAATTGTTCATTTTCAAATTCTCCCCCATGATCACTTCTGATAGAAAGAATTTTTATTCCCTTTTCATTTTGAACTCTTTTATAGAATACATGAAATACCTTAAAAGACTCATCCTTGTGAGTTATGAACAACACCCATGTCCATCTAGTGTAGTCATCCACAATGACTAGTCCATATCGTTTACCATTGACAGATGTTGTCCTAGTGGGTTCGAATAAGTCTATGTGAAGCAGTTCAAGAGGTCTAGAGGTGGAAACATGATTTTTACTTTGAAATGAGCTTTTGATTTGTTTCCCCTTTTGACATGCTTCACATAAGCTATTCGTCTGGTGTACAAGACTTGGTAGACCTCTTACGAGGTTATGCTTTTTCATTTTAAAAATTAATCTTAAACTTGCATGACCAAGCTTCTTGTGCCAGAGCCATTGGTGTTCATATGAAACTAGACAATCAACATTTTGATTTTCTAGTTTGTTAAGAATTATTTTATACAAGTTGTTGCATCTGTTAGCTGTAAATAATATGGATGAATCAAATTGACTAATAGTACATTTATTTTTGTTGAAGGATACCTCATAACCACTATCACACAATTGACTTATGTTGAGTAGATTATGTGTTAATCCTTTAACATACAGAACATTATCAATGGTGATAGAGGAGTTGATAGCTATGTTACCTATCCCCATGATATGTCCTTTTTGTCCTCCTCCAAATGTGACTTGCCCTCCTTTCTTGGTCTTGAGGCCTAGGAACATAGACTTTTCGCCCATCATGTGTTGCGAGCAGCCACTGTCCAAGTACCATGACTGGACATTTCTTGTTCCTTGTTAAACAAATCTGCAATAGGCACTATTTTAGTCTTTGATACCCAAATGGATTTGGGTCCATGAGTGTTAGATCTTAAGGTTTTGGAATACCTCTTTTCGTGCATGTGACTACGTGTGGACGTAGAATGTCCATGATTCCTATGAGAAGAATATACATGTGTTCTTGTTTTAATCTATGATTCAGATTCAACATATCCTAGTCCAAACCTATTATTTCCACTCCTAGAATATTTTAAAAGATGTTCGAGATTTTTAGCTCCTAGAGTGAATTTTGACAAATATGATTTTAATAGGTCAATTTCTTTGTTAAGTTTGTTCACTTCTTCTGAAGTTGAAAAGTATTTTTCGGATTCTTTTGATAGCTTTGCATTCTCATTTTTTAGAAGCAGATTTTCTTTAAGTAACTCAGAAATCTTTTTCTTTTGTTCCTTATAGGCTGTAGAGATTTTAGCAAAATCAGAAAAAAGTTGATTATATGCATGCTCAAGAGTTTTAAAGTTAGATTTAGTTACATCTTCATCATCAGATTCTGATGATGAGTCTTTGTCTGCCATAAGACAGATGTTTGCTTCTACATCATCCTCAGATGACGTGGTATCAAGGTCCTCCCAGGTGGCCATCATTGCCTTTTTTTTCTTGTAGGAGATCAACTTCTTTTTCTCTTTTTCTTTTTCTTTTTCTAGTTCTGGACATTCTATTTTGTAATGTCCAGGTTTCTTGCACTCAAAGCATAGTGGTTGTGCCTTCTCTCTAAGAGTTCTGCTGTATTTTCTCCATCGTATTCCTCCCTTCTTTTTCATCATTGAGTGGATCTTCCTTGATAAGAAGGATATCTCATCGTCTATATCGCAAGTACCTTCAGTGCAGCTTTCGTCAAACGTCTCTTCTGCCTTTAAGGCTCTTGAGGATGCTGGAGTGGACTTGTCTTTTGTACATTTAGTGCAATGGATTTCTATTTCCTCCCAGCATCATCTTGTTGTAGCTCCAGCTCGTGGACTTTGAGTAGTCCAATGAGTTCCTCCAGTGAGAGCTTTTCTAAGTTTTTGGACGCTCTCAAGGCTGTGACCTGTGGTCTCCACTTCCTAGGTAAATTTCGAAGTAATTTGTCAATATGATCAAAATTGTCATAAGTTCTTCCTAAAAATGAGAGTTCATTTACAATCATTTGAAATCTTCCAAACATGGGTTGGATAGATTCACTTTCTTCCATCTCGAAGAGTTCATACGTACGCGCCAACAAGCTTAGCTTGTTGCGTTTTACCTCCACGGATCCCTCGTAGGTCAGGACTAGTGTATCCCACATCTGTTTTGCACTTCTGAAGCTATGAACTTTAGTGTATTCTTCCTCAGATAGGGCACACATGAGCGTATTGCGTGCTTTTGAGTTTAGTACGAATCTTTGCTTCTACTCTTCATTCCATTGTGCCTTGGGTATCTCATTACTAGCTTCATTTCGAGGGATGTAGTTTCCTTGTTCCACAACGTCCCACATGTCTATATGACATGCATCAAAGAATGCAATCATTCTTTGTTTCCAATAGTCATATTTTGTCCCTCTGAAGAGAGGTGGACGATTTACGGCTTGTCCTTCATTTTCCATGATCGTTTCTCCTGCAGTGTTAGATGCTCAACCCAAGGAGTCAAGCTCTGATACCAATTGAAGTTAGCAGAAATACACACAGAAGGGGGGGGTTGAATGTGTGTGTGTTCGAAGGAAGATTTTACAAAATTGTTTTGTAAAGATATTCCTTTATCTTTTAATAGAAAGAATATTCAAGCACTGTTGAAAACTTGTGCAGGCTTGTCTGACTAGAAAACTTTTTACGTCCAATAAAACTGATCGTCTACTTCAAGAAACAAGTTGAGTAAATATGTTTTCCGTCTGAAAGGATTTATTGTCCAAAAATTGTTTCTTCAAAAATAGTGGACAAGTGTGTTTTCATCTAACAATTTGTTGAAATGAAAGTAGATGAAAGACAAAATTTTTTTTTAAACAAGTAGTGTTTAAGAAATAGAAAAAGTTATGCACATATTTTTATACTGGTTCACTCAATTTGAGCTACGTCTAGTCTCCTTCAACTGAAAGGTTCCACTAATCACAAAGGATTACAAGTATTCTCTACCACTTCTGGCTCGTCAACCTCACTTGTCGACGCTAGCATTCTTAACCACTTCTGGTTCTCCAAGTATTCTTGACCAATTCTGGCCCGCTAGCTTCACTCACTAGCGCTAGTATTCTCAAACCACTTCTGGTTCACAATTATTCTTTCAACCAGCCTCTTCAGGCTTTACAACAAATAAAGGTGTTGAGTATGTTTGCAACTCTCACAAAGAGGATAGGATAGTTTTTTACACTCACTAAGGTGTGTAACCTTAGTTTTATAGGAATAAGTGTCTGACTGTTTTGTTTACTCTCGTAGAGAGGATATAATATTAGCAACACTCACTAAGATAAGCTATCTTAGTTTTTACACAGATATATAGGAAATGCTTTGAGAAGAAATGTAGCTTATGCTTTTTCGCTTTCTTTTTCTTATTGCACATTTTTCTCTACTTCTCAGTTCTCTTCTTCTTCTTCTTTGCCTTGATACTTATAGCCTGTTGATAAATCTGCCCATTGTTTGAATTCAAATTTTCCCGTTGGAGGGAGCTTCATGTCGTTGCAGATGGAGGTTTTTTCATGGCTATGTAAATCTTTTCATTTAATGCATTTGATCTTGCATTAAATGTTTGCTTGTATATGTGAAGTCCTTCTGTGTAGTTGATTATTTCAATGTCTGACTTAAATCATGATCTAGGCATATTTGTACTTTTCTCATCAGTTTAGCTGCTGAGGTGCTATCTTTCTCTAAAAAGTAGGTGCCCTTTTTCTGACACACGCAGCTTTGACTTGTGAATCCATGCTTGCCTATTTTTCTTCTTTTTGTATTCAGGTTTGATGTCCTTTTGTGTTTCTTGTATGATTTCACTCAATGTGATTAGTGGACTTCAGATGCACTTCATTATTTTCTGACTGTGTCTGGAAACACATTTTAGTTTTGATTCTTCCTCTGGTCTTGACTACCCTTTACGTCTGGTCATGAGAGTGATGACTTCGTCTACTTGTTCATTAGGCTCTATCTGATGATTTGGCAAATCCATGTTGATGTTTAGCCAACTTTCGTCCCGTTCTTGACTTAGTCTCATATGATGCCTGTTTTGGTCTTACATCTGATCCCTCAGGCTTCAGCTGATAGATTCGTCTTATCTTGTATTTGATTTAGGCTTGGATCAACCTTAGTCTTGATACTAGCTTTGCTATCGTCTGATGTCTTGTTCAATTTGATTATGCTTGATCATACTTTGTCTTTCATTTTTGCCTGAACTTATTGTTATCCATCTGAAACACTAATACACATGTTAGGAATAACAATATGTATAATATTTGTCATATTCAAAACCTCGGTGGGAATTGCGAATGCGCTTCGTCTGACTTAACACTTTGTTCCAAGCCTACCCTTCACCAATTTTTCTCCTAAACATAATCTACATTTATTATCTCAAGTAGATTATTTGGTGCAACCCAAAAACCTCAAGAAAGACAACATGCAAGCACCAAAACTCAGAAATCATCAACATTTTTAACCTTTCATCAAGAACATCAAAAACCTCAATTTTCAACATGCAACCCCTCTGAATCTAGCTTCCCTTACTCGAAACAGAGTAAAATCGAAGAACTCCGAGGTAGAAGAAGAATGACCAGCTCCACAACAAATTCAATGACTTGATTTGAGGTTTCCACTACCTGAATCACAACAACACCACTTAGAAGAGAGTTAAATAGAAGAAGATTTAGAGAAAAAGAGTTCACGGACCAAAGACCTTCTCTCTAAAATCCTCTCTATAAAAAGCTGAGGGAAATAATTTATGAGGTTCTACTCAAAACAAAAACCTTATATACTTTGTCCTCCAAGGTCAAACTGAGTATTTGCCTAGAGAACCCCCTTAAGTTAGATCTCACAATTTCACTCCTTTAACCTAATTACTTTTCATCTAATTAATTAATTTGTATAGATCATGTTTTCTAATACATAAATGAGAGAATGAAATTATATTATTAATGTATAATATTTATATAAAAAATAGTTAAATTTTTTAATAAGAAATAATTACTTAAATAATTTTTTAATCTCTATAAAATAAGTGAGTTTGTTTTTTTTATCTTTATGACCTTTTTTCTATAATTTGCATCCTTGAAATATGAAATAACTATTTTTTCCCTTATTATGTGATACTAATTAATTGCTTATGTGTTCAATTGAAGTTAAATAATAATCTCAAATGGCACACAATAGTGTCAATGATACCGTTATCTAAGGTTCGAACCTTAGTCTTGAATATAGAATAGATTATTTGAGAGAGAATATTTATCTTGTGTGTGATCATGATCCTTAAAAAAGATTAATAACTACTTTTATCGGTGGATACTTCGTACGAATGTTATGATTACCCAATAAAATAAAGAGCCAATGGTACCATATTAACATGCGACACCTTTAAAATCTTGTATAGATCCCTAAAATATAATACTAACCTTGTCCTTACTATAAAAAAATGCTAAATGATTATTAGAGACAAAAAGTAGTTATTTTAAATATTATAAGCATGAAAATCAAAGAAAATGTTGTATAAGGCCAAACTCCACTCAATTTATAGAAACCAAAAATAGTAATTTCAAATGATTAAAAATAAAGTATTTTTTGTAGTGACCAAAATCAAAACTTACTCATTTTATAAAGAATAAAAATATATGAAATGAAAAAAATAATTAAAGCAAAGTGTAGCATATAAAATCCTCATTCATATGATTGCAAGGAAGTTCTTTGAAGAGAACATAACAAAATTCCACATGAGGGAGAAAGAGAGAATAAAGAGTGACACGTAAAATGATCAACAACAGCTCATTTATTATTGCTGAGAAAAGGTAGTATTTATACAATGAGTGAAGCAAAAAGTAAGAAAGAGAAAGAGGTACAAAGAGAATCCAAAAATAATAGAATGAAATAACAGAATTAGAAAATGGCAAAACAAAAAACGTGTAAAGTTGTTAAGAGCCCCCCTCAAGCTGGGAATAGATATTGGACATTCCCAACATGGAACACAACACTTTAAAATGAAAAGGAGATAAACTTTTCATAAAAATGTCGACCAATTGAAAGGAGAATGATACAAGTCTTATTTTGAGTAAACCATTGGTCACTTTTTCTTGAACGAGATGACAATTTATTTCAATGTGTTTAATTCATTCATGAAACACTTGGTTGGATGCTATTTTTAAAGCAGATTGGTTATCACAATAGAGGAGAGCAATTCGAGTGAAAGAGATGTGCAATTCTTCTAAAAGATATGTGGGCCATTGAAGTTCACAAGCGATGGAGGCAAGAGCTCGATATTCCACTTCTAAGGAATTGCATGTCACAATGGGTTGTTTCTTTGATCTCCATGAAACGAGTGAATGTCCAAGATAAACTGAAATACCTGTGATAGAACGTCGAGTATCCATGCAACCCGCCCATTCAGAATCACTGAAAGCTTTTAGTTGAAGGGAGCTATCTGCAACAAGAAAGATACCATGTCCAAGTGCTTGTTTTAAATAGGGGAGTATACGAAAAAATAGCTTGCTAATGAGAAGCGATGGGATGAGAAACATATTGACTAAGATGCTAGATAGGGTGAGTAATATCGGGACAAGTGTTAGTGAGATAAATCAAGCGCCTAATCAACCTTTGATATGTAGAAGGATCAGTCAAAGGGGTATCAATATCAGCAAATAAACCAATTTTATAATCCATTGGGGTGGATGATGGGTAACATGCTAACATGCCAGTGTCAAAAAAGAATGTCAAGTGTATATTTATGTTGACATAAATGAATACCAATGTTGTTTCTAGCAACCTCGAGACCAAGAAAATAGGTTAAATATCCAAAATCTTTGATTCTAAAAGTTTGCTCAAGAAGAGTAGTGATATGTTGTATTTCAATGAGGTCGTTTCCAGCAAGAACGATGCCATCAATATACAATAGGAGTGTTGTACTAGAAAAATCTGTAAACTTCAGAAATAAATAGTGATATACAGAAGAATGTGTATATCCATGTGTCAAAAGAAATGTTGAGAGATGAGCATACCACTGATAGTTGGCCTACTTGAGCTCGTACAAGGAATGGTTTAGCTTGCAAACTTGTCCCGATTTAGTGGAGGTTAAACCAGGGGGAAGTTGTATGTATACTTCCTCGTTAAGATCACCATGCAAAAATGCATTATTTATGTCCAACTGTTTAAGAAACCAGTTGTGAATTGAAACCAAAGAGAGAAGAAGACGAAT